ACTGCTCCCAGGTCAAACAGGACAAAGTTATCACACACAGAGTAGCAGTTCTTCACTGTCTATATTGGCTTTGGTTTCCCCCCCCCCTTCACTGAGGGGAGAATAAACAAAAATTAAATAAGCTATGGAAAAGATCCAGAGCTAAATCCCCACCCGCTTCCAAAAGACCAAACTTTGGGAAGAAAAAAGCCAACCAATTCAAACCAGTTGCAGTGCAACTACAGCTCCTTTCCACCTGACCTGATCTTTGACTATGGGAAGAGCAGCAGGAGGGGCCCTGCCACAGCCATCTGCTGGGCAGGACATCCAGGGCTGCTGTTAACAAAGGCGCCCCATTGAGCGAGGTGCTGTGGAAATGTATCAAGGAACAGCTTCCTGCTGTGAAAAGCTGTTTTGAACGAATAAGTCAAGAAAATATGAGATGAAATGAGTAAGAAAGGCAGGCTGGAGCACTGAATCTGAGACATCCAGCCAGGCAAATATATTTCCAATGGATTATTTACATAACTTTAATTATGCATGGGCATGTATGGTTTACTCAAAGTCATGCTCTGATCACAGTGTCGTTGAGCAATGGAATGTCTTGGGTTGGAAGGTACCTTCAAGATCATCTGGTTCCAACCCCTTGAGACATGGTACACACCCTCTGACCAAGCAGTTATTTTTAAGCACTTGGCAGATGTAGGATAAAAGAAGCCCAGCAGTGCAGCCGATCACATCACTGCTGCCACTCTCCGAGTCCTGCCTCCATCCTGCTTCTTGCTCCCCAATGATGATATCATCATCCCATCTTGATCCCCTGTGATATCATCAAAGTAATCTTTACCACTGTCCCATCAGGGTTATTTGAATTGCAAACTCTTCCTTTTTGGATTGCTCCTTTTTTCATCATTGCCTTCCCCACCCTTCCCGAACCTCAAAATACATCCTCTACTTCTGGCTCATGTACCTTATAGAGAATGATTTTTATGAAAATGGTAGTCCCGAAAAATAAAAAAAAACCCTGTATTATAAAAAAGTCCCTGTTAATTAAAAAGAATGTGTGGGTGACACACAGCCCTGGTGCAGCCAGCTGGGGACTCAACAGGTGTCAGCATTATTTGATGAGAGGGAAAAGGTGATTCAAGGCCAGGCTGGATGTGGCTCTGGGCAGCCTGGTTTAGTGGTTGGTGACCCTGCACACAGCAGGGGGGTTGAAACTTGATGATCACTGTGGTCCCTCTCAACCCCGGCCATTCTGTGATTCCATGATTCTATGTCAGCAACTGAGCTCTTTAGAAGAAGCCCTCTGAAAACAAGCACACTCATACTGCTTATGGTGAATACAAGACTCCGTAAGTTGTGTGCAGGAAACATAGAGCAACCAGGAGAAGGCTTCACACACAAAATTGCAATAAAGAGACAGTGCTTAGGGACGACACAGCTACTGACACTGTCCCATTTCTAGCTAGATCGATTTTAATTTAAGTAAATGTAACTTCATGTCTTTCTACTCAAGCAAGACCAATAACCTTAAGTAACA